GGGGGGGGTTTGGGGGAGGCCCTCCTCTTGGGCTTCCGGTGAGGCGGGGGGGGGGCGAAGGGAGGAGGTGGGCACTGCGAGGCCCCCTCCCCAGTCCCCACCTGCCTGCTGCCCTGCGGGAGGGGGGGCTGTCCTGCGAACCAAGAAGGCGGCCCCCCACCCCCACCCCTTTGCCTCGCCTGCCGCAGGGGCTCCTGCCGGCTCCCAGAATCCTGCTGGGGCAAAGCCCATCTTGGGGACGCTTCCCTCGCGGCCTCTGGGGTGGGGCCTCCTCCTCCAAAGAGCCTCCTCGCGGCCTCCGGGAGCCTGGCCAGGTTGCCCCGCTGACCTCGGGCTGGGCGGAGGAGGCAGCGGCAGAGGAAGGCAAACTGGGAGGGGGGGGGAGACAACAGCCAGTCTCTCAAGTGGTCTCTTCCCCACCCCATGAGGCCTGCTAGCCAGCCAGCCACAGCCTTCCCTGGCCCCACGGGGCCGGCGGTCCTTTCGCCGCTGAGAGACCACTCCTCCGATGCAGCCTTCCTGGGCACAAACTCTGCACACGCCCAAGAGACCAGGCCATCGGCCTCTCCCGTCCTGCCCGCCGTGGCTCCGTCGCCCCCACCTCCCGGGCGCCGTCAGCCAGACCTGCCCCACCGGACAACTGAGAGGGCCTTCCCTGGAACCCCCAGGCAGCCAGCTGGGATCGGTGACTGGGAAAGGCACTCTGCACACGCTCTGAGCCCTGAGCTCCTCTGCAACCCTGATATGTTCAGGGGTGAGGAGGAAAGCCCCAGACTCTGTGGCCCCCACAAGGGACAGCCTGCGGGATGGGGGCAAAGTTCCAGGAGCAGAGCTTCTTGGGAGGCCAGGCAAGCCGAGGAGGGCCCTGGTGGACTTCCAGAGGGCCCCTGGATTCTGGCCCCACTGGTGGACTTCCTGAGGGCCCCTGGGTTCTGGCCCCACTGTTGGGACTTCCTGAGGGCACCTGGGTTCTGGCCCCACTGGTGGACTTCCTGAGGGCACCTGGGTTCTGACCCCACTGGTGGACTTCCTGAGGGCACCTGGTTT